CACACACACAGACACTCACACACAGACTCGCACACACTCACACTCTCACACACACTCACAAACACACAGACACACACACGCTCACACACACACACTCACACACACACACTCGCACACACACGTTTACTTAGCTATCTAAATGGGGACTCTCCATAGGCATAATGGTTTTTCTACTGTACAGACCGTATATTATATTGCCCTACACCAACCTTACACCTAAACCTACCCCTCACAGGAGACTTTGTGCATTTTTACAATTTAAAAAAACTTTGTTTACTTTATTTTTATATCAGTTTTACAAATGAGGACGTCCCCAAAGGGAGGTTTTTAGAGATTTTGTCAGGTTTAGCTCACTTTTGGGTACAAATTTGTCCCCAAAATATGGTTAAGTAGGTACACACACACACACTCGCACACACGCTCACACATACACACTCACACACACTCTCTCTCTCTCACACACACACACTCGCACACACGCTCACACATACACACTCACACACACTCTCTCTCTCTCACACACACACACTCGCACACACGCTCACACACACACACAGACACTCACACACAGACTCGCACACACTCACACTCTCACACACACTCACAGACACACAGACACACACACGCGCACACACGCTCACACATACACACTCACACACACACACTTGCGCACACACGTTTACTTAGCTATCTAAATGGGGACTCTCCATAGGCATAATGGTTTTTCTACTGTACAGACCGTATTTTCTATTGCCCTACACCAACCCTACACCTAAACCTACCCCTCACAGGAGACTTTGTGCATTTTTACAATTTAAAAAAACTTTGTTTACTTTATTTTTATATCAGTTTTACAAATGAGGAAAATTCTCTGAAGCGCCTTTGGAGACGGCTTATGGTAGAGAAATGAACATTCAATTCATGGGCAACAGCTCTGGTGGACATTCCTGCAGTCAGCATGCCAATTGCACGCTCCCTCAAAACTTGCGACATCTGTGGCATTGTGCTGTGTGATAAAACTGCACATTTTAGAGTGGCTTTTTATTGTGGCCAGCCTAAGGCACACCTGTGCAATAATCATGCTGTCTAATCAGCATCTTGATATGCCACACCTGTGAGGTGGATGGATTATCTCGGCAAAGGAGAAGTGCTCACTAACACAGATTTAGACAGATTTGTGAACAATATTTGAGAGAAATAGGCCTTTTGTGTACATAGAGAAAGTCTTAGATCTTTGAGTTCAGCTCATGAAAAATGGGGGCAAAAACAAGTGTTGTGTTTATAATTTTGTTCAGTATAATTTATTGTGTTAATTGCCATTTCTTAGTAATTAATTGTGAAATTTACTAGCAATTTCTGAGTGAAAATTATTTCTAAACCATTTTGTTAGTCTGCGAGGGAATGTGTAAATTTTGGTACTGATTTTAGGTCGTTTTTTAATCACCATCGTCTTCACTAGTTAACTTGAATGGTCCTGCAGTGTGACAAATGAATGAGCTCATTAAAAATTTACATGTAATAATTGATTTTATATTCAAAGAGACCAGCACATCCAGTTTTTGCTCATTAATGCTTGAAGCTTTCTCATGCTTCTGAAACTTTGCAGAATTGTTGTTTGAGAGTTCTCTGCTCATTTCCCATATCAAGATCACTGTTGTTGACGGGTATACAGTGAATAATCCAGTGAGGAGTAACACAGATATTATCAAATACACAGACTGGCTTGCAGGCCTGTAGTTTGTTGATGCTGTCATGTGCTCGTGTTCAGCATTCGTGGAGCCCAGGGCCTGTTGTGTGTGGGACAGTGTCCCCAGCTCACCCTGGCTGGATGTCATGTGTGACCCGGGTTAAAGCAACGGTTCAGACTTCTGGAAGGGCCTCAGAGGACAGATGTGTAATGATGTGTGTGTGTGTGTGTGTGTGTGTGTGTGTGTGTTTGCAGTGGAGGTCTACAGCTGCAGTGCGGGCAACAGCAACTGCTCTCAGTGTTGGGGCCGTCAGGCGCAGGGTCACATCTGTGTCTGGTGTGAGAACAGCTGTCAGCAGCAGGAGCAGTGCCACTCCATCACCACACGCTGCCCGGACCCACACATACAGAAGGTACAGCACACACACACACACACACGCTCACAAACACACTCACAAACACGCACAAACACACACACGCACACTCACTCACACTCACTCACGCACACACACTCACACACACACACGCACTCTCACACACGCACACGCACTCTCTCACGCACGCACGCACACACATTCGCACACACTCGCACACACACACACACACACATAGGCACACACTCACACACACATAGGCACACACACACACACACACACACATACACACACACACACACACGCACATACACACACACATACACTCACTCACACACACACACACACACACACACACACAAGCAGAAAGATGTCATGAACAGCAGTTAGGTCAGATAGAGACTTTAACTCCTGCTTCTCAGATGTTTCTTCTGAAGAGGCGGTTCACCTGAAATGAAAATCCAGTCATTGTTTATTCACCCTGCCATTCTTCTGAAGCTGTACGACCTTCTTTTGTTTTCCGGCCAAGGAACAAAGCATGTTATATTATTTAGACAAAGAAAGGAACTGAACTCAACTGAACTGTTCCTTAAACTGCTCTAGAGTTTCAGAAGGAGCCTCAACAATGTGTGTAATTCTGCTTAGATTCATCAAGATGCCAATCAGAATCTGCTCAAAATTTTAATTATCCAAGTTGCGTGATCCACTGTTATTGCTAATTTCCTTATTTCTTTATTTAGTGTTGTTCCCCCTAACTAAGTCATAACTGAGGCCTGCTTTATGAAAAAGCAACTGCTAAGAAATACATTGGGACACATATTATTTTAATGTGTCCCTGCTGTGTAATTACACAAATAACTATTGACTAATATTAATTAACAACATGTACCTACTATAGGTCAGGGTTCCTCAAATCTTGCCCTGGAGGATTTAGCGCTGCCGAGTTTAGCTCCAAGCCTGATCAAACTCCCCTACCTGAACTTTTCTAATGATCCTGAAGACATCGATTAGCATGCTCAGGTGTGTTTGATTAGGGTTAGAGATAAACTCTGCAGGAAAGTGGATCTCGAGGGCCAGATTTGAGGATCCTTGCTATATGTTATATAGCTTGTGTTTAGAGTTAGTTGCTTGTGTAACGCGTGTAACTTATATATATTTTATCCCTAGGTTATTGATAAAAAATAAACATGAACAACCTATGCTAATATAGGCATGGCTAACTAGCATACAAGATTTTATCATGGCTGCAACATCGGTGGGAACTGTACAAGAGCCACATGGCCCAGTGCTAGGATTTCAAAATAAACCGTGAGATGGTCTTCCCGCATTTCAGCTCTCTTCTGTGTGAACCTGACCATGTCTGACATGCCAGCGTGTGTCTGCAGGGTGCTGGACTGTGTTTGTACAGGTCATGGCGCTGGCTCAGCTCAATCACGCTGTGTTGATGTGCAGGTCGAGCCGCTGTCGGGGCCACTGACTGGCGGGACGCTGCTCACGGTGCAGGGCAAGAACCTCGGACACAGTGCTGCTCAGATCAACGTCTCCATCGGCCATGTGCCCTGCAGAATACTGCCACAACACTACACTGTCTCAGTCAGGTACAGGACACAGATCAAACACTCACAGCCTACATCAGCTCCGCATGTGTGCTCCACTGACTAACATGATCTTTACAGACATACGTACCTGGTTTTTGACTGAATGACAGATCCTGCAGTGACGTTTATGATGTGATTGACAGTTCAGACTGATATAATGTTGATTTGAGCTTCACTTGGTGTTCATCTGTGCTTCAGTTTTTACACATTTCACACTGGACACTGTTCATTGTACAAAAATAAACAATAATGATTCATTTAGCCTATAACGTAATGTAGGCACAAACCATGTCTATCCTTGTTGCAGGTGAAGCCATATTTAATGTCATCTGGGTTGTGCTGTAGTTTTATTCATGGCTTTTGAGGGCGTCACACAGCTAATTATCCAAACTTCACCAAATGACAGATGAGTTTGTGCAAAAACATACCGTGTGATTGCTGGACTGGACACACAGCGTTGATGTCAGGGCATTGGCTCGTGATCCAGCATTCTGTGTGTGTCGCTACAGGTTGGTTTGTGAGACTGGTGCATCGTGGGAACAGACGAGCGATCATGTGACCGTGAGCGTAGCTGGGAACGCAGCGGGCGTTTCAAAGGACATCTTCTCCTTTGTGGTACGTGCGAGCCATTTGTTCTCTGTTCACTTTCATTTCACACCCTCAGAGCGATGATCCTCTCCTGCAATCACTCTTTACTCTTCATCCCGATTTATTTTCCCATCACACCCTTCACTGTGTGTTAGACCACCGTCTCATGAGGGATATTACAGAATATGCTAACAGATGCTGATGGCATGATACTCACGACAGATCTCAACATTTTCTCCCAACTATCGCGTGATGTGATGGCATGTTTGACTGCATGAGCTCAGCTGAGTGAGAGGAAGGACGGTCCGCTCTCTAGATCAGCCTGATGTTGTCTGAGGCCGTTCCTGGGATGATTTCACTTTCACTCGGCATTGAGAGATACTGCACAGTGGCACGTGTGGTTTGCAGTGGTGCGACTGAGCAGATCCACACTGAGCCTTCAGACGGTTTTGCTTACTCTGATTTTAGGGGAAAGCCTGCTGGAAATCTGGTGGAAAATTGGTAAATGTATTCAAGAGAGCTGAGAGCCGCCTGTGGGGTGATTGAGTTTTAACTGCATGTTGTCGTTTGGACAGTAGCTGGTTTCTAGTTGGTCCAGCCACTCATTAGCTGGTCAACCAGCCACCGTTTTCTTGGTCCAACATTTTCAGTCAGCTTAGACCAGTTTATTACTGGCTTTTACCAACTAGAACGCAGCCACCATATTTCCAAACACAGCTAGCAGCTTAAGGAGAGCCAGACTCACAGCAGGACATCGTAACAGGTCAGACTCGAAGCTCTCCAACACACTGAAGAGCCCCAGACCACTCAAGACTGGGTTGGTGTGAAAACAGAAAACTAGAAAACAGGATTAGAAACTCTAAAGAGGAAAGACAGTACGACTCCCTGAGGAAGAGAGATGTGAATGTGAACTCCTCCAAATCTCCTTCCTCAAACCTTTAGCCCAGTCACTGAGCTCAGGAAACATCTGCTGAACAACCCTACACACACACACACACACACACTTACGCTTTAATATCCTCCTCTTGACCCTCAGCTAGTCTTTACCCCCACAGGATGTGATGTCATGTGTGGTCTGTGTGTGCTGTAGGGCTGGGCGATATAGCTAAAAATTTATCAACGATATAATGTTTCATATAGTTCAGTACCGATAATTATTGACATTTTTTATAATCTTTTTTAAAACAAAGAGCAATAGAATTTTTTTTTTTTACATTTAACCACTGTATTTTCTCAATTTATTGCAACAAACAACAATTTTTTTTTGTTTTAACAGTCAAAAACAAAATAAACAAATAGGCCACAGGAGGGCGCAGGGCAAAATAATGCAGCACATTAAATTGTCAACGCAAGGAAGTAACTGTCTATAAAAAAAAAACGTGCATTACGTCTAAATGAACTCATATAAATCAAATATAATTTCATAAATTGCATAAACAATTATGAACAAAACAGCATCATGTATTTATGCATTGCATAATACAAAGAGCCGAAGCGCCATTCACACAGACTGCCTTTAAAAACATACGAGACGCAGTGAAAAGGAATAAACCTCCACAAAAATGTGCGGCGTGTTTTCTTTAAGTTTAAACTGTTTTAACTTTGCATGGCTACATCTCTTGTGTGAGACGCGAGTGCAGCAGTTATATTCGTCCGTCTAAAGAATGCGCTGAATATGTGTTCTGTGTAAATGGCTTGGTTTCGGTTTGAACCTAATCAAGATCTTCTCCGCATCGAGCTTCTATATTTCTCTAATATTTTGAATGAAAAACGCAGCAGCAGCGCGTCTCGTGGGCTAGACTAACAAAACATTAATCTACAACAACGTCACTCACATCATCATCACCGCATCTCGTGCTCCACTGAAGACGCTCCCTGATGCACTCATAACATTCGATTGTACCATTTTTCTATCAGTCAAATGCAAATGTTTATTTTAAATTCGACTAATATTCATTCTTTACTCACAATCTCCTCATCACAGGCAGGCACAGCACTCATGTTTGTGTTTTTTGTGTGCTGTCTGTGTCACTCATAGCACGCGACTATATCGTGCACTATATCGAAAATGTTTTATATCGTTATCGAAGAAGGTGTACCGTAATTATTATTTAATATTATCAATAATATTGATACCGTTTTATCACCTAGGCCTAGTGTGCTGTATATGTTCACATGTGTAGCAGCGCTGACATTCACTCTGCATGCCACATTACTTCTCAGTGACATGCTAGTTTAAACTAACCTTCCAGAGCCGTTTATGGTTCTTGATGTGATCAAAGCTGCTGCTCTCTGACTTCATCAACACAGCTTTAGCTGCTTAAAACATGCTGAAATCTGCTAACTGTGCTACAGCATTCAGTGTTAAAGCCTTGCTGCTGGAAAATCCAGCCAAAGCCTGCTGAAAGTGGTCTCTGGAACATAACAGGGGGTTTGTAGTTGTTCCACGCTGGTTTAGCTGCTTGGCTGGTAGATCTTCAGCCTGTCACAACAGCTGTATTTTGGAAAAGTAGCTGATTTGTTGCTGGTCTGCCAGCTCTTTCCAGCGTGACGCTCAGTCAGTCAGATCTGGGAGAAGATTGAACCATAGTTTGTTTTTAACACTTCAAATAAGTATTTTTTTCTTGGTTCTCCACGGCACAGGAGCCCAGGCTGCTGGAGTTCACGCCGCGGCAGGGTCCCCTCGCTGGAGGAACCAGACTCACCATCCACGGCCAGTTCCTGGACGCTGGATCCACAGTCAACGTCGAGATCAACCGGACTCAGAACTGCACCGTCTTCATGTGAGCGTGTGTTCGTGGTAGGTCGTGTTTCACTGATATATCACGCATCTGCTGCTCATCACGTCTGTGGTATGCTTCTGCAGGCTGTCCAGTGACGTCATCGAGTGTGTGATGCCTCCAGCCAAACCGGCCATCGCTGAGAATGTGTCGGTGTGTGTGGTGTATGACAGCCAGCCGTGCCTCAGCGCTTCACCCAGCTTCACATTCACCTATGAGAAAAACCCTACTATCAGTCACATCAGACCCAACAGAAGCTTCCTTAGGTACAGAACCTGCAGAAGTCTAGTGTTGCTGTTCATAACCATTTACTGTAGACTCTGCATGGCATGTGAAACAGTATGCAGTATGCAAGCCGGTTCATTCATTACATTGGAAATGGAAGGTCTGGTTGAGTGCATTGCATTGTGGGATACAGTATTTTATGTAGGGTATTGTATTCTACTGCATACTGTGCAAAATACAGCCTACATGCTGCAGAATCTAGTATGCTGTTCCAAACACAGAGATCTTCAATGGCTTTACGTGTCACTTAGATCTTCGTTGCCCTGTGTTAATGTAATTGTGATGGTGTTGCAGCGGTGGTCGCAGTATCTCAGTCACTGGACACGGCTTCAATCTGGTGCAGTCTGTCAGGATGGAGGTGTCTGGAGTCGGACAGACGGTGAGATGAATAATGCTTTGTTTATTGGATAGAGATCAAAGTGCTGGTGTGTGTGTGTGTGTGATATTTCAGTCTGTGCGCTCATTCATCTGGATGTCATTTCCGCAGATCTGCTCCTGTGTGTCGTCTACTCTGATCGTTTGTCAGTCTCCTGCCGCCAATCAATCCCAGCAGGCCATGGCACATTTCTATCTCAACGAGGTGCTGTACAGAGGAGAGGACGTGTCTCCATCAGGACGAGGGTCGGACGAGGACGAGGACGAGGAGCCTCACGCTGATGCCTTTCACTTTGAATATGTGGAGGATCCGCAGTTCTATACGGCCAACAAAGAGAAACTCATCAAACATCATCCCGGAGAGCCTCTCATCCTCATCATCAATGTGAGTGAGTGTGTGTGTGTCGATCATCTAGACCTAGACGGCGTCTTTAACGAATAATTCAAACAAAAATGAAAATATACACTCCTTCAGGTGATCATAGATGTGGATGAGTTTGTTTGTTCATTGGAACAGATTTGGAGAAATTCCATCAGTGTCTCAGCAATGGATGTTCTGCAGTGAATGGGTGCCGTCAGAATGAGAGTCCAAACAGCTGATAAAAACATCACAATAATCCACAAGTAATCCACAGCACTCCAGTCCAACAGTTAACATCTGGAGAAGACAAAAGCTGAAACTAATCCAGCATTACGACGTTTTTAACTAAAATACGAGTCCATAATCCATAATAACTCTTCCTCCAGTGAAAAAGTGTTCTGGTATGAATCAGGAGAGAAATCTGCACAGATCAAGCAGCATTTAAACAGCTCTAAACAAATATGTGGCTGGATTTTGATGTGAGAGACAACAGGAGATGACACACACACAGACACACTCACTCACTCACTCACTCACTGACTCACACACACACACACACACACACACAGACAGATGCAGTAAGTGTTGGGGAAGTCCAGATCTGTGTGGCAGGATGTTATGAGTTTCTGAGGGTCAGACAGGAAGTACCTAACAGGCGCAGAAGAGCCAGGGAGTTTTATTTTCATTCTCTCCTGAAGAATTGGAGAGGAAGGAAGGAAGGATGAAGACATGAAGCCGGTGTCTGTGTGTTTGCTAATTATCATAGGATGTTTAGTTGTTCATATTTGTGTTGCACTGTGACCTAAACAGCTGTGATGAGTGACAGGACATTCCGTCAATCACATGGTTTGTGTTTCCACTGTGAAATACTGGAGAGAATCCTCCATCACTTACAGTATCTGTATATTTAACATCATAGACACATAGTCTCATGAAGCGTTTGTGTGTTGGTGTGTCAGAAAGGGCCGAGCGTGCTGGACCTGACGCTGCAGGAATACTCCGTGACGATTGGCTCAGACCTCTGTGACATCACCTTCCACAACGAGCAGCTGTTCCACTGCACCATCAACAGATCCCTGAGCGCCAGCACTGGAGAATTGCCCATTACCGTGAGTCCTCACACACACACACACACACACACACACACACACACACACTCACACTCACACACACACACACACACACACTCACACTCACACACACACACACACACACACTCACACTCACACACACACACACACACACACTCACACTCACACACACACACACACACACACTCACACTCACACACACACACACACACACACTCACACTCACACACACACACACACACACACTCACACTCACACACACACACACACACACACTCACACTCACACACACACACACACACACACTCACACTCACACACACACACACACACACACTCACACACACACACACACACACACACTCACACTCACACTGCTGCGACCAGACAATAAACCCACAAATCTGACCAAAACTTTATACTTACAAGTGGTAGAGAAGTGTAATCCTTTTAAACACATTTTAAATGTATAACTATTTACAACAAAACCCAAGATCTGCCCAGAATCATAAGATAAATAGACAAAAAAAAAAACAACAACAACAACAGTGAAAAGTAAAGGCTGCAGTAGTTTGCTAATGTTTTTTTCTGTAGGTTAATAAGCAACACTGCTGCTGATTTACACCATTACATGTTTTGAAGAAGCGGTCATCCTGTGGAAAGCAGAGGTTCATCTTCACATGCTGCATCACGACTCACTGTGACTTACAGACCGTTACTGGACCCTGAACGTCTTTATTTGTGCCTCACACACACACACACCCACACGCCCTCATCACCCTTATCAGTGCGCTGGATCTGACGCTAATCATGTTACAGCGTAAGCATCTACTCAGTGTTCATCACTGGAGACTCTATCGGTAGAGAAGTGTAATCTTTTTAAACACATTTTAAATGTATAACTATTTACAACAAAACCCAAGATCTGCCCAGAATCATAAGATAAATAGACAAAAAAAACAAAACAACAACAACAGTGAAAAGTAAAGGCTGCAGTAGTTTGCTAATGTTTTTTCTGTATGTTAATAAGCAACACTGCTGCTGATTTACACCATTACATGTTTTGAAGAAGCGGTCATCCTGTGGAAAGCAGAGGTTCATCTTCACATGCTGCATCACGACTCACTGTGACTTACAGACCGTTACTGGACCCTGAACGTCTTTATTTGTGCCTCACACACACACACACCCACACGCCCTCATCACCCTTATCAGTGCGCTGGATCTGACGCTAATCATGTTACAGCGTAAGCATCTACTCAGTGTTCATCACTGGAGACTCTATCTGCTCATCAACCAGCACGGGAACTTTCTTTAGTGTGCTCAACATCAGACACCAAAGCAAGTGCTGATCAAGCCCTGAACCGCCCTGATATCAGCGCACCTGTTTTCATGACTGAAATCCCCCGCTCTTTGTTTGGTCTGATTGTGAAACAGCAGCAGCTATATTTAACACGCTGCGGTCTGAAGACCGTGACGCAGCTAATGAAGCATTAGCAGAGAGAGCACTGAATGTCTGAAGAAACACATGTCAACAAACATCTGAGTCTGAGCTCCAGGCAAGCATTCAGAGCGCTGAACTGCAAGAGTGACTGTGAACATGGAGAGTCTTCCATCATGTCCATCCACGTCTATATGACTCTCATCTGTGGAACACAGACGATAACGTAAAGGATCTCTGAACAGAGCATCAAAAAAGTAGCCCAAGACTGTTGATTCAAGTGATCTGAAGCCGTGTGACAGATTTATATGTGAGGAATAGACCTAACTATCATTGATTTGCTGAAAACCTTCTTTTCCTCCATGGTTGTTCTTTCTACAGCCCCATTCCAGTCAAAATCATTTCAGTTGTTTATTGGATTCTGAATGGAGTGTTTTGATCACTGGGAACACAAGTGACGAGCAGCATTCAGTTTAAAATGTGAGAAGCACAGATGATGGCAGTGTTCAGAAAGACCAGATGATTTCAACAGACTCAAACACAATATCAGCGCTGGCCAACTGTGAACAAACCTCTGCAGAGACAGAAGAGTAGAGCAGAATAGAATAGAATAAGAATAGAATACAATATAATAGAGCAGAATAGAATACAGCAGAATAGAATAAGAATAGAATACAATATAATAGAGCAGAATAGAATAGAACGACAGTCAGATACTCCAGGATGATGGGACACTCGTGACGGTCCTCTGTTCTGCGTGTGTTTGAGCTTCGTTTGTGCTTGAGTCTGATCTTCCACCGGTGTGTTGCAGGTGCGTGTGGGTCATTTCCGTAAGGTGATAGCGATGGTGCAGATGGGTGGAGGCAGTGAGCTGGCCATCGTCATCTCCATCGTGGTGTGCTGTGTGCTGCTGCTGCTGTGCACTGTGGGTACGTCTCTCTTCATACAAACACTCGTCAGACAGCAGATTTGTGATGTTACAAACCTGTAGAGATGCTCAGATGTTCTGGATGACTTTCGGATCATCTCAGATCCTGCTGGAGATCAGGATCATCAGCTTTAGAGAGACACACTGAGACAATCTGAAATCCACATACAGTTTCAGTTCAGCGTCTCACTCTGATGATTATGATTGCAATGTACTTTGTACTGGTTTTTAATGCAGAAGAGAAGCATTTCCACTAGTGATCTCTTGGACTGTTTGTAAGCTGTTGAACGTGTGTGTTTCCAGCATGAATAACCCCTTTGTGTGTGTGTGTGTGTGTGTGTGTGTGTGTGTTCAGCGCTGGTGGTTTACTGCACTAAGAGCCGCAGGGCAGAGAGGTATTGGCAGAAGACTCTGTTACAGATGGAGGAGATGGAGTCCCAGATCCGTGATGAGATACGCAAAGGTAACACACACACACACTCACACACACACACACAGCGCTAGTTCCAGAATCTCAGCGCTGGTGGTTTACTGCACTAAGAGCCGCAGGGCAGAGAGGTATTGGCAGAAGACTCTGTTACAGATGGAGGAGATGGAGTCCCAGATCCGTGATGAGATACGCAAAGGTAACACACACACACACTCACACACACACACACAGCGCTAGTTCCAGAATCAGCTTGTGACTTTTCACCACAAACCACTGCTTCACATAGACTGTAGTGTGTGTGTGTGTGTGTGTGTGTGTTCTGGTATATATGGTTTATGAGTATGAGATTATACAAATGTGTATAATGAAATGGTTACTACAACGTAAACATGGTTTATGAGGTTTACCCTTCCTGTGTCCCAGTAACCCAAAAGGCTTAAAAAAACATACTAAACTGTTTGTTTTTTTTAAGTAAAAAAAATGCCTGTAGTTTAGTGTGAGGGGTAGGGTTAGAGTATGAGGATAGAAAACACACTAGAAAAAAACATCACGGAGAGTCCCCGTAAACCCCATATGCAAGAATGTGTGTGTCCAAAGCCATTTAAAAACCTCTTCGTATTAACACTGTAAATCATAAGCTGAAACACACAAACAGTGTTCAAACAGAAAACTCAATCACTGTAAGAATGCATGACACATCCTCAACGGGGAAAACAGTTCATGCATGAAACATCTTTTTCTGCATACTCTGATGTTTTGTGTTTGGGTTGATGTTAGTGGTTTAGTCACACGTGTGATGACAGCCGTGTGTTTGTGTGTGGCAGGCTTCGCGGAGCTGCAGACTGATATGACGGATCTGACTAAAGAGCTCAATCGCACACAGGGAATCCCCTTCCTGGAGTACAAGCAGTTTGTCACACGCACCTTCTTCCCCAAGGTTTGATCGCTACACACATGTGCCATTACACATGTACAAGCCATGAATTACAGCTCAATGATGGAAAACACGAGCAACACTGAATTTACAAGATTAGATAGAGTTGACTCTGTTTGGTGTGTGATGTGCTTAAATAGATACTCAGAGATGTTTGTCAGTATTATCTCAAGAGTTGATGTGAACTGTAAGCCGCATTTAAATGTCTTTGCATTGCATATCAAACCAAGTGATGCTTATTTTAAAGGAAGAAGCACAAACACACTTTTTCAAGCAAAACATCAGAGAATTATTATAATTATGACACAACAGATATGACGGAATAGATATCATGACACTTTCCGTCAGATGCTGGTGGATGATGTCGGTCGTTCATGTGATTCTCTACACTTCATAGACTTCATACATCTGCTGAAATCCTAAAGCCATACTAAAGATCACTGTCAGAGCAACTGGTGAAAAATGCCTGGATAAACTAAAGCTAGTTGTGAGGAACCTCTAGCATCATCTGTCTAAACATGACACTTGGTCTGATATTTCTTTATGTGAAACTGGTCTTTTCTTATTTGAGACACTGGATTGGAGGATTTGTCCATCGTACAAATGATTTGTAGTTTATTAAAGAGTTAAAAGTCTTCAGCCAGGGCAGATACAGGACTCATATCCCCTATTTTTATTCTCCAGTGAAAACCGCAAATGTTGCAATTTTCCAGTCTTAGTGTCTGCACAATACTGGGCACAGAGACAAGAAACTCCTGAATACTCCCTCCAGCGCACTGACACAATAGACTGCGTTTAGGGGAATTCTGTGTGTGTCTGCTGCTAATAGACTTTTACAGTGAGCTCAAACAAACTGCAGTCCTGGGATGGGAATCAAAAGAGACATTATTCTGATTCTGATTCAGTTCCAGTGCTCCACTGATGTTCAAGGTGACATATCATGAAAATCTGACTTTTCCAGGTTTTAAGTGTTATAATCAGGTCCCCGGTGCATCTACAAACCAAGGAAATGTGAAAAAGATTAACGCAGTAACTTTGTTTTGGTGAGCCTTTTTCTGCAAGCATCTGAAAAAACCAGCGCGTCTGATTTCGCTCCCTTGGTGACGTGGCAAAGGGATCTCATTATAATATCACCGCCCCTTAATCTGTAAGTTTACAGCCAGGGGCGCCGTTGTTTTTATTTCACAAGAGCTCTAATGCCACGGCGAAAGTTTAAGCAAAACATGGGGGTATCATACCACTAAACATTCATACTGGTATCGGTATTGGGCCCGATACTGAGCTCCTGTACTCGTACTCGTGCTCGTTAAAATGCCCCGATACCACACAGCATGTGTTAAGCGCCATATTCAGACAAAGAAACACTGACAACAGAACAACAGACAGCAGAATGGTTATTAGAGATTAAGGATGTCTACGAAGTATATGTATACAATGAATATAATGTTAAAATTCAGTATTAACGCCTGTATAGCTGATGTGTGCGAGCTGATGAGCAAAGCACGCTGAGTGGATTGAGTGCGCGGCAACGCAGATGCGCGAGCTTGTCCAGTGAATATCCCTTTCTCACAGACATCACTGGAAAGGTTGTAGTTCGGTCGGATATGTCAAAAACAAGTAAGTAAAACAATGCACAAGTTACTTAACGGTAGGGAGAGAGAGAGAGAGCGCGCGCAATTCTGTTGTGTGATCTTTGATGTTCACTCACTTAGCACACGCATCATTTGGATTAAAACTAAACCATAAAAATAAGACCATTTATAGGGGCATTCACTATAAGTGATGTTTATAAACAAATTTCGAGAGGAGCACACACAGATAATTAACACGGCCAGTCCATCATTAGTGATTACACCATTTATCCAATCAGCACAAGAGAAAACTCCTATAAATAACCAAGTACATCCTACCTTCGTTATCTCTCGACTTTCAGTATCCCTCCGCCACCCCGACCCCGCACCTTCAGCATAGGTTCTACCCCAGACTCGGGAGTCTTGCCGAGCTCTGAGCCCTCTCCCTGGACAGCACGCCAAATACGCATAACCTTTATTTAATTATACGAAAGTGTGAACTCGTGAAACATTATTTATTTTCAACCTTAGGCATACACGAATCTAGCAGACTGTGTGAAATGCGCTAGCTGTACTACTTGTCCCTCTCATTCTTCACCAATACAAATGCGTGCACGCGTTGCGCGTGTTTTGCTTGCTTGAGTGTTTCTGGAATATAAATCGCAACATGTTTCAGATGAAAAAAAAACAAAACCGTGACTTCTATTTCTGAAAATATCACAGTTAGGAGATTTATAACGAGTGGTTCCCTGCATTATTATAGCAAAGTGCGTGATTAGAGCCGCTGCAATGGAGCAGCTCTAATGCTATTAAATTAAAGATGATGTACCATAGACAGTGAAAGTAACAAAAACTTGTAAAATACATTTTAGTGGGCATAGTTAAGTGTGAAAATAACAGAAGGATATACAGTCAAACCAAAACCAAAAATTATAGAGAGACCAGATATAATTTTTCATATTTTTTTACTAGTGGGTGCAGGACAGTGTAGTTCATTTATGTAAGTGAGGATAGCAAAATAAAGTAAACTGTGACAAATTATACCCAAAAATTGTTCACACAGTGGACTACCAGCAAAACTGATACAAATTTGGGACCAAAAGGGTCTGGGGGGAAAAAATGAAGTTCAGGTTTGTATGAAGCTGGCTGACAGCATGCCCAGGAGACTATATGCTGTCATTAAGGCTAAGGGTTGCCCAACTAAGTATTGATAGTTGTGTAAATATTGTCATACTAACAGCTGTCTGAATAATTTTAGGCTGATTGTAATTCATTACATACCTTTCTATCAAAGTTATCTAACATTATCAAGCTGAATTTGTTCTGACACAGTTTAACTCTTGAGTTCTTCTCATGTTTTATTACCATTTTACATTTACGTTTAGTCATTTTGCTGACGCTTTTATCCAAAGCGACTTACAATTGGGGAATACATAAAGCAGTTCTTCTTAAAGAGAACAGTCACAGGAAGTGCTTGAAATACCAAGTTTTAGGCATTGTTCAAATAAGTACAAGCTAGAAAAGGGAAGGAATAAATAAAGAAAATATATATATATTTTTTTAAGATGAAGTCAAGTAGCGTTTAAAGAGATGAGTCAAGCTGTCGCTTGAAAATTGTCAGGGATTCAGCATTCCGGATAGGGGTGGGAAGATCGTTCCACCAGCCAGGAGTGGTGAACGAGAATGTTCTGGAAAGTGATTTTGAGCCTCTCTGTGATGGTACCATGTGGCGTCGCTCACTAGCGGATCTCAGACTTCTGTAACCAACTAACATTATACATACTATTTTTGTTTATGTACCCAATATTTTAAAAAATTACAAATGCAATAAACATCTGTATCGGTACTCAGTATCGGCAAGTACAAAAAATAAAAGTATCGTATCGGGCGAGTACTGGAAAAAGGGGTATCGGTGGATCCCTAATGCTAACTGTTCTGTGTTTGGCTGCACAGACGAGCACAGAACACTGTTTAGAGTCCCAGCCTCAGAGACAACAGAGCAGTGATTTATTGATTTATTTAATGTATATTGCTGCTGCCACACAGATCTAAAATAAACATGCGATTTAGTTCCCAGCTGTTTACCTTCACAGACATAACCCACTGTTTGTGTAACTCGTGTTTTTAACGTTAACTTGTGTGTGAAAGAGAACTTAGTTTAGTACTCGCATGCTGTGACAGCCGCTTTCTGTGCGTGTGCTTCAGATGTGTGCGCTCAGAAAACCGTGGATCAGAAGTTTAAACTCATAAGGTTTAAAACGCATGATTTCAGCGCAATAAACATGATAATCAGAACCAAAACAGATGTTTTTAGCAGGTACGAGCTGTAAAGGTGCAGCTCTATTCTGGAAAAGGGGGCGGGGAGTAGCAGCTCATTTGCATTTAAAGAGACAGGCATGAAAAATAGTGTTTCTCTGCTTCCACTCAAAATAGGCATTTTCAAAATGATATAATAAATGATGACGAGCACAGAACACTGTTTAGAGTCCCAGCCTCAGAGACAACAGAGCAGTGATTTATTGATTTATTTAATGTATATTGCTGCTGCCACACAGATCTAAAATAAACATGTGATTTAGTTCCCAGCTGTTTACCTTCACAGACATAACACACTGTTTGTGTAAATCGTGTTTTTAACGTTAACTTGTGTGTGAAAGAGAACTTAGTTTAGTACTCACATGCTGTGACAGCAGCTTTCTGACCGTGTGCTTCGGAAGTGTGCGCTCAGAAAACCGTATATCAGAAGTTTAAACTCATAAGGTTTAAAACGCATGATTTCAGCGCAATAAACATGATAATCAGAACCAAAACAGATGTTTTTAGCAGGTACGAGCTGTAAAGGTGCAGCTCTATTCTGGAAAAGGGGGCGTGTGACAGCCGCTTTCTGTGCGTGTGCTTCAGATGTGTGCGCTCAGAAAACCGTGGATCAGAAGTTTAAACTCATAAGGTTTAAAACGCATGATTTCAGCGCAATAAACATGATAATCAGAACCAAAACAGATGTTTTTAGCAGGTACGAGCTGTAAAGGTGCAGCTCTATTCTGGAAAAGGGGGCGGGGAGTAGCAGCTCATTTGCATTTAAAGAGACAGGCCCGAAAAACAGCATGTTTCTGCTTCCACTCAAAATAGGCATTTTCAAAATGATATAGTAAATGATCTGTGGAGTATTTTGAGCTGAAACTTCACAGACACATTCTGGGGACACCAGAGAATAATATGTCTCCTTTAAGGAAACTGAACATGTTTAACGTCATTGGTTTTGTTGATGTCAGAATGCTCTTGTGTGGCCTGTGTGTGTGTTTGTGCAGATGTGCTCTGACTACGAGAGGCGTCTGGTTCAGCCGGTGTATGAAAACAATCCTCTCGGCCCGCGAGCTCTGTCTGAAACACATCCTCTGCTGCAGGACTGGCAGGTGAGATGCACACATACTACAATCAGTCCAGAAACACTCCTGAACATTGTTCTGTCGGCTCATTATACCACGGTTCATGTAGGTTGTGTGTTTGCAGTAAAGCACAGATTCAGCAGATGCGTTCACCCAAAAATGATAATTCTGTCATTAATTACTCACCCTCATGTCATTCCAAACCAGAAGAGCTTTGTTCATCTTCAGAACACAAATGAAGATATTTTGATGAAATCCGAGAGCTTTCTGACCCTGCATAGACAGCAAGGGACCTGAAATGTTCAAGGCCCATTTTGATGGATAGCTATAAGTTTCAAATGTTTGAAGAATTGTTTTGCACAGTTGGGAAATTATTGTTGTGATTCCCATGTGCAATTGTGAAACTTCAGTATCGTTCAACAGGGTGTTTTTTAAGAGGAAGAATTTATTCTTCAAAAATCACCTAATGACTCATGCCAAACATTATTCTAGAAAGAGTGCATAAGGGCATCATGTCGTGTGTGAACATGTTAATGCACTTTAAGACCCACTGCATGCATACATACATACCCTTTAGTAGTTTGAAAATAAATGCTTTGTACTGTTTTATGTGTCTCTTCTCTCCATGTTAGTCATCTAATAGAATGCGGCCCAACCTTGAGGAGGGGATCACACTGTTTTCCACTCTTCTCAACAACAAACACTTCCTGGTCACCTTTGTTCACGCTCTCGAGCAGCAGAAAGACTTTGCCGTAAGAGACAGGTGAATACAGAGAAATACAAACAAGAACAATAACAGGATCCAAGCACAGCCCAACGCTCCTGAACAGCACTATAGACGTTTCATAGCTAAATAAATTATAGGGGTTTATAAAGTGCAAATTGAATAAAGTTACAGTAACGGCCGACACTCTACATGGTTACAAGCTCAGCACTTGACATCTCGTAAGTAGCACTTAAAGCACGTCCTTATGCAGTCATATATGTGCAATGTCAGGAATCGCACTAAAAATAATAAAATATCACTCTTAGAAAATGCTCTGAACAGCTATAGTACGATCAATCACTATTGGGAAACCAGGCGCAGATTATGTGCTGCTGGCTGAATTCAGTGAGAAATGTTGGAGTTCATGTTGCGATCTTGACGTGACGTGACATGTGGCCTAGTATGGTGACCCATACTTGGAATTAGTGCTCTGCATTTAACCCATCCAAAGTGCGCACACACAGCAGTGAACACACACACACACACAAACCCGAAGCAGTGGGCACCTCAGTCATGGTATTGAAGGTGGAAGAGAGCGCTGTACATTCACTCCCTCCACCTACAATCCCTGCCGGTACGAGACTCGAACCTGCAACCTTTGGGTTACGAGTCCGACTCTCTAACCAAGTATTTGATCAGCGCTTTGATGGCCAGTGTTGTCGTGTGTGTCTGATGAGCTGTAGTGCTGGAGTTAGAGCTCTGTGGAGGACAGGCCTTTCCCCATCTCCATCACCAGCGTCAGTGTGAATGCTTTCAATTACTGATGTATCTCATGATGCGCACGCATTCTTTCATTGATGTTTAGGTGCAGTCTTGCCTCTCTGCTCACGATTGCCCTCCATGGTAAACTGGAGTACTACACCAGCATCATGAAGGAGTTGCTAGTGGATTTGATCGACGCTTCAGCCTCCAAAAACCCCAAACTGATGCTCCGGCGGACTGAGTCAGTCGTGGAGAAGATGCTCACCAACTGGATGTCCATCTGCATGTACAGCTACCTTAAGGTTTGTGCCCAAGTACACTAGACTGTGTGATGTAGCTGGAGCTGACGGCTTCAGTTCATCGACTGTATGAGCGTGCTCGTAAGCGGTCGTTTCTCTCGCACCCTCAGGAGACGGTCGGCGAGCCGTTCTTCCTGCTGCTGTGCGCCATCAAGCAGCTGATCAACAAGGGCTCGATCGACGCCATCACGGGGAAGGCACGCTACACGCTCAACGAGGAGTGGCTCCTTCGAGAAAACATCGAAGCCAAACCGCAGGTGAGCTCCAACACACATGACTGACCTTTCTTTCCACCCATGAAGTCACACCGATGACGGGGTTGCGCAGTGATATGACTTCTCTTCCCCTCCGTCTGCCTTCCAGAACATCAACGTCTCGTTCCAGGGGTTTGGTATGGACTCAGTGAGTGTGCGTGTGATGAACACGGACACCATCTGTCAAGTGAAGGACAAAATACTAGAGGCCTTTTACAAGAACCTGCCCTTTTCGCAGTGGCCTCGAGAAGAGGATGTTGATCTGGGTAAATATCCCTCAGTGACGAGCGTCTGTTCATGCTGGACTCACTCGAGAGGCAGTCACTTGTTGCTCAGTAGCTGAGTCATTCTTTATATGCAGTGCTTTTACACCATCATGAAACAGCATTCGTGAGACAGGCATGTGCATCAGAAGAATCAGAACAGGGTAAATATTAAAGGGGTCCTATTATGCTTTTTCACTTTTTCAACTTTAGTTAGTCTGTAATGTTGCTGTTTGAGCATAAAAAATATCTGCAAAGTTACAAAGCTCAAAGTCCACTTCAAAAGGAAATATCACTTTTCAAAAACTACAACGAATGACTCGTTTGGACTACAACGCATATTTTCCGGAATTTGTGATATTACAAATATTGACGAATGGGACGAGACCTGGTTGAGCTGCACTAGAGAAGGCAACGAGTGTTATCACTATGTCGGAGACACAAACTTAGAGTGGTTACAATCATCCGGGTTTAAATCGCGCTCAAATTGATTTGATTTTGACGCAATATTTACACTGAAGCTCGCAGCAGGTGGCTATGGTAAGAGGCATGACATTTCCCGAACAGGTGCCGAGTGGAGACAATCACAACACACACTGGCCCAGCTAACCAATCACAGTACACACTGGCCCAGGTAGCCAATCACAGCATACACTGGCCCAGCTAACCAATCACAACACACACTGGCCCAGCTAACCAATCACAACACACACTGGCCCAGCTAACCAATCACAGCACACACTGGCCCAGCTAACCAATCACAACACACACTGGCCCAGCTAACCAATCACAGCACACACTGGCCCAGCTAACCAATCACAGCACATCTCGTATTTCAGAAGGCGGGCCTTCATTTGATACAGGAACTATTCGAGTCGTTCATGCCAGACTGGGGAGAGAGGTGTTGTAATGTAAAATATGTGAAAAAGAATGTGTTTTTCGAACAACCTAGTATGAGAGCCTGTTCTAGTACACCCCCAAAACTAAATCAAGACTTTGTAAAAGAGCATAATAAGACCCCTTTAAAAACTTAAGAAGCAAGATATGAGGATGACAATGTATATCAGTTTATGAAGGAAACTCTGTTTGCGGTTTTCTGAATGAATGTAGAATCAGATTCAGACTCTAGCAGTGATTATTAGGCGAGTCGTGCTTGACTGTGATTGGTCTGTCCCGCTCAGAGTGGTTCCCAGAGGGCCGAAGCAGCAGAATCCTGCAGGATCTGGACGACACGTCTGTCATGGAGGACGGCAGAAAAAAACTCAACACCGTCTTCCACTATCAGGTGAGTGTATGTGCGAACTCTCGGAAACGGGATTTGCACAGAATCTGAAAACACATCAGTCACAGAAATGTATGATTTACTCCTCCTCTGTTTGTTTATTGTCTAATTTGATCATGCTTTCGGCTGCCATGGCTCTTGAGTGAGTTGTTACACTGATTTCAGCAGATTTTCCCCCTTAATTAGTGCGGAACATGTAAAAACTGGCTAATTCAGACAGAACCAACATGGAACCCATGGACCAACTCATTCAGGCCCATATTGTGCCCCACCATGAAATGCTGGTGGTGTGACCCCGAGTGACGCTCTTCACCCTAATGACCTCTGACCTGTCTCTTGCAGATCCCAGATGGAGCATCACTGGCCATGAGCATGAAGGACAAGAGAGAGAACACACTGGGCCGAGGTGACGATCACACATACGCACAAAACTCAAATATCCTACAAACTCAGTGACAAGCTCTTGGTGCTTCTTTTCCATGACCTTCTTTCTGTTGATTCACAGCGAAAGATCTGGACACAGAGAAATATGTCCATCTGGTGAGTGTGCTGGACGTCTCTCACACTAGAGTTTCCACATGTGTTCACACTAATGATCAAGACTCGGATCAGTGATCTCGATTGCTCAAACTGTCTGTTGAGAGCAGATCTTGTCATGTTCAGGACTCACATAATCCATCCTGACTTTGGTGATAACTTATGAAACATGTCTAGTTCAGTGACATGTTCCGACCCTTGAAACCCAAATGACAGAAAATCTGACCAATCACATCTCTCATTTGCACTGTGGGGTTTGGCCTTCAGGGTTTCACATCTTCACAGCGGGGGAAAATATGTGATGTAATTGCCATGAAATAAATAGTGCTTAGGGACTGTCAGACTGGGTTACACTTTATTTTGATAGTCCACTTTAGACATTCTACTAACTATAAATAACTTTGCAACTACATTTCAAATAACTCAACTGACTGCAACTACATGTCAACTAATGAGAGCATTTGTAGACTGTTAGGTTATGGTTAGTAGAATAAGTTACTGTCGTTGTAGAATGTCTGTTGAGCGACCATCAAAATAAAGTGTTAGCAGATATTAAGCAGACTAATACTTTGACTGCTAGTCGACATGTAGTTGCAACGTTATTTACAGGTAGTTGACTGTCTAAAGTGGACTATCAAAATAAAGTGTGACCTCAAGCAGCAGCCATGCTTCAAAACATACCTAACCTGCATATGCTGGGTTTTTCAACAGGGATAGTTTATAATCCTGAAGATGAAAACCAGTTACACTGGACAGGACAAGTGAATGAGTGTTAACAGCGTGTTTGCATCTGGGACAGTACTGTGATGTTCTCTGCGTGTCTCTCTGCAGTTTGCCTCTGCGCTTCTGGGTCAATATCCTGAAGAACCCTCAGTTTGTGTTTGATATCGATAAGACGGATCACATGGACGCGTGTCTGTCTGTCATCGCTCAGGCTTTCATTGACGCCTGCTCTCTCTCTGACCTGCAGCTGGGCAAAGTAAGAACACACACACTTCATAATTATTACTATGTGTGTCTATATGGCTGAAAGAATATAAACATGTTTCTCTCCATATATGGAAATGGAAGCTTTCATCACAGGAGCATCTCTTCGTACGACATCAAAAGAGAAAAGTCATGTGAGCTCTTTAAATGAGCGGTTTGGGGGAGTGAGGGAATGACCTTTGTGGTCAGATTCTCTCATACTGCAGTGGTCTGCCATTGATGTCTAAAGGTGTAGTCACCTTTGCGAGCAAAAACAGGTCCATTGTCTATCGTCATGTATGAAGCACAGCTCACACAGAAGTCACTTTCAAACCAAGCAGGCTTCTGGTGGTCAACACAGCAAATTCATGTGACCAACTTGAAAATAAGCAAAACCTGCACTCCCAATCACACAGATTCCTTTTGGAATGACTGGATATCACATGCACATTTCACAGAGCAATGTGAGCGCATTTTAAGGATTAAACCAGACGTAGAGAGGAGAAATTTAGAGTACAGGTCACATATATTTTCAGCTCAACCAGTCATCAGTTCAAACCAGTGTTCATTTGGCAAGAATTAATAGAGTCTGAACCAATAAAAGATTGCAGCAGGTTTGATGTGCATGTTTGCTGATAGTTAAGCATACATCTGACTGAATCGATCCCTGACTGATTTTAAAAGAGTCTTGATCATTAATGACACATTATAATCTCTATGATCACAATCAAAAACATGCAGCGTCGTACACATTCTGCATCTAATCGCTTGCTTGCTTTATTACAGGATTCTCCCACCAATAAGCTGCTGTATGCCAAAGAGATCCCGGAGTATAAGAAGAGAGTGCAGTGTTACTACAAACAGATTCAAGAGATGGCGCCGCTGAGCGAGCAGGAAATGAACGCTCACCTGGCCGAGGAGTCGCGGGTGAGCCAAGTGCACACTTCTAATCATGCTGCCTCGTTTTCTACACAGGCATCTGAGCTGTGAAACAGAGACCAGTTCATTTCACAATACACATTGTTTCAAAGTAGCTTTGCAGAAAATCATGATGTTAAAGTTTATAATATCTTAATATCTTCATGCCGTTTAGTCACATTTAGCAGATTTGAGCTGGATGATTATATAGTTACATTATGAGATGATATATAAACAATCACGCAGTTGAGATTTGCATATATCACTTTACGTGAGTGTACTGTATGCAAGATTGGATATACTTAGAGCAGCTGTATATGTTAATAATTATTCATTATAATCACCTGCATTATATATGTGAAATATGCCAGAATACAGAAATATCAAGTACATATGAAATATATACGTTTGTATACTTACAAAGAATTTCTGAATGGTTTTTGCTGCAGAGATACAGGAATGAGTTCAACACTAACCTGGCCGTAATGGAAGTCTACAAGTATGCCAAAAGATATCGCAATCAAGTGAGTCGTTCCTCCTGCTGTCTGTCTTCACACCTGCGGTGGTGTAACTGTCCTGAGCGTGTGTGAGCGTGCCGGCAGCAGAATGCAGATGCCCCGGGCCGATGTGAAGGTCCATTCTTGAGCCGTGATTGAGCTCATTTCTGCTGACAGCTGTGCTCTGAATAGGGCTCATTTTACATGTGCAATCGTCTGGGGGTTTGCAAAACAATGCTGATTATCGTAAATGTGCAGTGTACTACAGGAGCTTGAAGGAGCTGGCTTGTGTTTGGATTCTCTCTTTTTCTTGTTGATCAGAGAACAGATTTTTTTTTAACATTTCCAACTTAAATACATTTAGTTTTGCAGTCTGAACAGATAACACTGCATGTGCTCATTTCAAACTTTAAAGGCATAAAAAGCCCATAAATATATACAAAATAAATAAAGCATATTTTCAAACAACCTTTGCCCCTTACACTCATCACACTTTTGTGTTTACTCTTATCCTTAAAATATATTTTATGTGGGGCTTGACAGTAAAAAGCTAAAAAAAAATGTGTGGGATAAGCTTGAGTTTAGCTTGCCTGTTGAGAAGAACCTCTGCAAATTTGTCATCCCGATTGAATCCCAAACGTACAATTAAAATATGTAACTGATCGAACAAAAACTGTGGAGATCTGACAAAAACAGGTCTCAGAGAGGTGTTTATTACAAATAAAAATGAAAGCGAAAGCACATGGAATTGGCAGAGTGCGAGGGTCGTGGCGGGATGCAGATCCGTCACTCATGGTGCACCTCTGTGTCAGACAAACAAAAGAAGTGAGGAATATTTAACAGCAGCAGTCACGGTGATGATGAGGCGAGCACCAGTGAAGTGATCGCAGCCGCGCATCTCGTTTCTCATGCCCGCTCCGTGTGTCTGCTGGGCTGCGATCAAATGGACAGGGCAGCGCTTTTCACGAGTGGAGATCGCTACTAGACGAATCATGTAATTTGTTATTTATTTTTTTTATTTCTGTTCCTTTGTCATAAGTTATGCTATTACTCCATTCATTTATACTATCCAGCGCTCCCTGAACGCAGTCTCTGGCTTATTGCCAGTCAAGCGCAAGCACGCTGCAGGGACGCGTCTATAACGACTTTGATCTGATCATAAAGTATTTCCGAGTCACAGGGCTCAAGTCCAAGTCAAGTCTCGATATTCCTTTGTCGTAAGTTATGCTATTACTCCATTCATTTATACTATCCAGCGCTCCCTGAACACAGTCTCTGGCTTATTGCCAGTCAAGCGCAAGCACGCTGCAGGGACGCGTCTATAACGACTTTGATCTGATCATAAAGTATTTCCGAGTCACAGGGCTCAAGTCCAAGTCAAGTCTCGATTCCCTGCTGTCAAAGTCTAAGTCGAGTCTCAAGTCTTCTTTAATTATGTCGAGTCGAGTCGCAAGTCATCAAATTTGGGACTCGAGTCCGAGTCAAGTCTCGAGTCGTGTGACTCGAGTCCACACCCCTGCCACAACCCAAACTCAGCCTGCTACTGTACCCACAGCCCAAACTCAGCCTGCTACTGTACCCACAACCCAAACTCAACCTGCTACAGTACCCACAACCCAAACTCAGCCTGCTACAGTACCCACAACCCAAACTCAGCCTACTACTGTACCCACAGCCCAAACTCAGCCTGCTACTGTACCCACAACCCAAACTGAGCCTGCTACAGTACCCACAGCCCAAACTCAGCCTGCTACAGTACCCACAACCCAAACTCAGCCTGCTACAGTAGCCATACTGTACCCACAACCCAAACTCAGCCTACTACAGTACCCACAGCCCAAACTCAGCCTGCTACAGTAGCCACAACACAAACTCAGCCTGCTACAGTAGCCACGCCCCAAACTCAGCCTGCTACAGTAGCCACGCCCCAACCTCAGCCTGCTACAGTACCCACAACCCAAACTCAGCTTGCTACAGTAGCCACAGCCCAAACTCAGCCTGTTACAGAAGCCACACCCTAAACTCAACATTCTAGAGTAACCACACCCCAAACTCAGCCTGCTACAGTAGCCACACCCCAAACTAAACATTCTACAAAAGCCACACCCCAAACTCAGCCTACTACATTAGTCACACCCCAAACTCAACCTGCTACAGTAGCTACACCCCAAACTCACCACAGCCACACCCCAAACTCAGCCTA